AGGGGGTATGTAATCAATCCCCTGAAGGTAACTGAATAACCCAATGGTTAAAGAATTTAACTCCCTGTGCCCAGTGATATACTCAAAGAGCAGGATTTTACGGAAGACACACAAATTTTGTTGTTCTAGCTGCAGTTATAAAACATTACCAAAACATAAAGAAGCGTATGGTTTCCAATACAGATAGCTACTCAATTTATTGTTCCTCCTGTTTTTATACATGAGCCAGAAAAGTTTTTTACTGAGTATGGAATGATTTTGGGGGCTACTCTATGTGCAAAGGGACCCATTTATACTTTTTTGTTTTGTTATATATTAAGCCTTTGGGTTTAAAAAGAGCTGTGTTAAGCTATGCTTGTTTATATGTCACATGTTAATGAGTGTACCTTGTTACTATTTTCCTGTCTTCTAGTTATTCTCCATTGGCAGATCAGTTTTTACACCAGTTTCCAGGACATGATCTTCCTTCAGTTCTTGCTAAGTTTTCATTGCCCGTTTCTTTAGCAGAGTTTAAAAACCCCCTATCTCCACCTGGACAGGAGGTAAATCTCAATTACATTCACTGAAATATTTGGTAATCTTATTAACCTGTAATGACTAAGAGGCATAAATATATGCCTTCATTTGAGGTGAAACCATGTTTGAGTGCTTAATGCTATGTTAAAATGTTCAGAGACATTGGATGCCCAGTGTCTGATCCGTCGTATTGAGAAAGTGTATATATACAGGGGTGTGGAATTCGTATCGCCCGACGCCCGGGACATGTAGTTACCCGGGGCAAGTTGTTTTGTCACTATTTTAGCCCTGCTACGGACAAGGTTTTTTTTTTCTTAAATGAGCGCCGAGAGCGGCGCTGCGAGTGGGGGGCGGGGACGGAGCGCTGGGGACGGAGCGGAGGGCGTGGAGCCGTGACGTGGCGGGGGACGATTAAGGAAAAATAATAAAACAAATGAAAAATTTTTACAAAGTAAATAAAAAAATTTTCAATAAAACCAGCCCCACTGTCCCCATCTGCATGCGACTAAACGCGCAGTGTTTTCAACTACAATCGTGTGCATCCGCTCAGGCAGGGCGGTGTTGCAGCAAGAAAAACGCGCAATCTGCCTGGCATGACTGGGGTGTCATTAGAAAATAATGGCACTGACAGCGCGATCAGCAGTGGTGTGCGATCCGTGACTGCCCGGCCATCGTGCATGAAACCGAGCGGGTGGCTGGGTGGTCATGGAATCGCATGCAAAAGGTCTTATTTCCCAGATTCCACTTATTTTTCTATGACTAACATGTGGGAAAAACAGAAAAATTAGGGTTCATTGATTTTAAAAACAAAGTGATTAAAAGGATACAAAAAAAGTTACTAAAAGATACGGCCAACATCATTTTTATTTTTAAAAAAGGCTTTATTATTTTTGGAAACTGCCCTGGGATAATGCTACATATCCAGGCTAGTTCATTCACCCACACATGGTAATATGTATTTTAGGAGGACCTATGCCTAAGTGTTTGCTTTCAGAGTACACTCAGACAGAGAGTCGAATGCTGCTATATTTGGCTGGTTTTGATTGGATCAGGCATTAATTAAAGTGATGGCAGCCCAGTGGGGTTGTGGTCGGCACTTCTGCCTTCCAGCACTCGGAGTCCTGGTCAGGACACTATCTGCAAGGAGTTTGCATGTGGTTGAGTGGGTTTCCTCCAGGTACTCCGGTTTCCTCCCACACTCCAAAGACATGCTGGTAGGTTAATTGGCTCCTCTCTCTGTATCTATGCATCTGAGATAGGGACCTTAGATTGTATGTTCCTTGAGGGCAGGGACTGATTTGAATGTGCACCATGTAAAGTGCTGAGCACATTGTCGGCGCTATATAAATGCTTGTAACAAATATTAAAGTCAAAAGGTTTTATAGCTATTTCAAATGCTGATGAAATCACTTACAATGGATGCTGCTCCTTAATGTTTAAAAGTTTTAGTCCCCTGAGCACCTGATATCCGGTTTTAGGGTGGCTCCTTTCCCTTGCAGGGTCCTATGGGGCCACCCTTGTGTGTGCTACTAAGCCGTGTGTGGCTTCACAAACAAAAGGCGCAGCAAGGCAAGTCACTCTCCTGGTCCTCTATTCTCCCAAGCTAGTATATAGAGAGTTGCTGGAGACTGGTCTGTGTCGTGTGTTCTTGTACTGGTCAGGAAGTACATGGAAGCTGACCTGGGAGAGTTAGAACCAGCTTTTTGAAAACATGATTACTGCAAAGGTTGGGCAAACATGCAAAACAAACACTATGCTGAGAAATGTATATTTCTTAAATCTGGACTCATTGTTAAAGTAGTATTGAACTCTCATTTTCCTTTAAGTGCATATATCCCTTGGTAATCGTTTTTAAGAGGAATAGATGGTCAGCATATAGGATTCTCTTGGCCATTCTCTATGGTTCCAAGTGTTAGGGTATCTGCTTGCTGTGCAGATATACATGTTTGGGTGATATGAACATGCAGTTTTAGGCATATCTCTATTAAAACGGTTGTATGGTGTCCATCTTGTTTCATGGACACTGCCAACACTTACACTGGCATCAGCAGCGGCCATTATGGTTACACAATGCTGAATTTTTAGCAAATGCACAGCAATTAGTTCTTTGGCACCACTCCTATGGCTGTACTCACTTGTCGATGCTAGTATGCACTGTGCTTTAGATCACCTCTACAAATATGTATTAACCATGATTGGAAAGAAAACCAAAATAAACCAACAAAATATATCAAATATATGCATAAAAGGTTAGTGTCCTTATCAATAGGTGCAACAAAAAAGATGCACTATGCAGCAATCATATATTGAATCATATATCAATAAGTGTCCAATAAACAAATCTTCTCAAATCTGTGTATCCTTTTTCCAACAAAGTCAATAATCCACGTGTGTGAAATCTTATAAGAGTCCGCACTCACCAGAAAGCAGGACTGCTTTTTTTCAGACGGTCAGAACAGCATGTAGTGTGGTATCCACCTAACCTGCCTCTTCAGTCTTCTCTGATGTTAAACACTTCCACCGTTCACCCTCTCCATCCTCCAGTATGTTGGCAGAACAACAAGACTTTCAAACACAGTCAAAATGTCGTATTTGAAGAATGGAAGTTCTTGAAACTCATGTGCTGCTTCAGAGGAGTTTCGTTCCCAATTTTGCACTGACATCAAAGCACCTCTCAGACGGATATTTGTTTGTTTCATTTGGTTTAGTTTCCAATCCTGGTTAACACATATTTGTAGAGGTGATCTGCAGCGCAGTGCATACTAGCATCTACAGATTTGAAAGGATTAACACCTTTTAGCATAGCTGCTCTAATCACTGTGGGGGGTTGTTTGCTAGGCGCAGATCAACCTTGCTTCATGTGCCCACTTGTCCTCTAAAGGTGCCCATACACTGCACGGTTCTCGTACGAGAATCGTGCAGTGTATGGAAGGCGTGCGACCGTTTCTACTTTCTACTGACTTCCATCGAACAAGCAGGCTTGAAAACCCGCCGGGAATCGTACGATTTTTGGCGGGTTAGTGGCCTGCTTGTTCGACAACTGCCGAACGGGCCGGTGTGCGCACGCGCACACTGCCCGTTTGCAGTCATCGCAAGCCCGCCCCTCATTGCAGTCATCGCAAGCCCGCCCCTCATTGCAGTCATCGCAAGCCTGCCCCTTGGAAAGGTAAGATGGGCAGATCGTACGTTTTTTAAAGTACTTTACAACCCTCGCAAGACAAAAGCCTTGCGAGGGTTGTAAAGTGTATGGCCACCTTAATAGAGTTTGAGGTGTTTACTTACTGGCCTTCCAAGAGTTTGAGGTGTGGGAGTATGCTCGGTATGCAAAATGAGCCTTGATTAATCGTTAATTATTTTGATCGATCAAAGTTATTTTGATCCGTACTCACCTCTCCGCCGGCTTAAGGGTCCTCCGTCGGAGATCCGGTGACGTCACCGGACGACTCCCCCCTTCCCCAAGTGGCTGTCGGCTAACGAAGGGAAGGGGGAGGAGTCAGGTGACGTCGATGTCCGTGACGTCACTGGACTCCCCCCCCTTCCCTTCGTTACTCGATGGAGCTGCTTGGGCCGGTGAGTACACATCCTGGCCGGGAGAGAAACACTTTTTACCGGAAAGGTTTAATCTGCACAATCGAGCAGATTAAACCTTTCCCTGCGATCGTTTTTTTTTTTAATCGAACAGGAAATTTTTAATCATTACCAGCCCTATAGAAAACCCATAGTGCTCTTGGGATTTCCGATAATGGATGCACTCCATTTTAAATAATTAAAATAGTAGAAATAGATATACAATATCAGATTAAAAACGTTTAAGCATAGATCTAAAATTGACCCAAAACCCATTATAATTTCCTTCAACAAGATTCTTCAGCCCAGCATCTGTGAGGATGTTTTTCAATCATTTGAACAGATTTGGTAATAATTGTGTACACTGTACAAATAATTATCCTGTGTATGATCGCATTTAAAATAGGCCTCTTTATTCCCTACTAGGGATGCACCGATACTTTTTTTCAAGTACTCACCGATACCAATTACCGATACTTTTTCTTAAAGGGACAGGTCACATTTTTTTCTAAAGCAATACAAAATCATGATTTTAGCTCAGTTTCTTAATATTATGAAGAACATGAACATGAAATTAATATTTATCATGCCATTGCTAACTAAGGCTTGTATCGCCATAGTGGGGAAAATAGATGAGCACATATCAAGACTCCAGACCAGAACACTGTATAGTGTGGCACAGCTATATCCAATTCTGCATACCCGGCTTTATATTATAAGAACTTTATAATATAAAGCCAGGTATGCAGAATTGGATATAGCTGTGCCACACTATACAATAATACACTGTTCTGGAGTCTGGACATGTGCTCATCTATTTTCCCCACTAGGGGGATACAAGTCTTAGTTAGC